GCAGTCCACAAACCAACGGGTGACGTCACGATGACTACGTCCATTTCTTATATACAGTCTATGGGTTTCACATGGGACACGAACACCGTTCTGAGACGTGAAAGTCCGGGTTGGTTCGACCCATCCATCCACTTCCTTATGTGGGGTATCTTTCAATTTATAATACGTCACCTGACCTCCTCCTTTGCTTCCATCATATGGCCACTAGCGGTTGCCGCCACAATAAATATAAACATGGGTCGTAAAAATGTGCTGAACAAATGACCTATTTGGTCTTTTTTTCTGGGGAGGATAGGCTGGTATTGTGATACAAAATATGAAGCCATGTTATAGAAGATAGCAGATTAATCTACAACTCTAATAACAATAATTTAAATTAATCAATAAACAGTTTAAATGTATTTTATTGAAAATAAACTTTATTAAGTGCTTTACAAGGTTGAAACCAGGATAAAACATACTACAGACTAATAATAAAACCAAATAGCCTAAAACATGTTTTGATAAGGGTCTAAAAAATTCATCTGCGGGGTCAAGGTTAGGTTTTTTTAAGAAGCGTGTAAACTACTGCGCATTTAAGGTTAGTGGACAGAACGATGCACAATCGCTAAAATACTGGGAACAACATTGTTTAAAACCTCTGAGGTTTTATTTTGGCCTTGTTTTGGCATTGTGTCCTTTAAAGTGCACAGTGACAGAGAGTGAAAGTCACTGAGCAAGGCTGAGTGCACTATGGAGAACTAATAATTATTAGCTGTAGTCCTACACAATTAGTTAAAAATTAGCTACTAACTACAGCAGTAAAATCCTGCTCTGACATTAATGCATGAGTAACAATAATCAAACTCTATAATATATGTATGACAGTCGCAAGGACATTTTTTGTGCATTAAGTGTGTTTTTATTTTAAGTACATTTTCCTTATTATACACAACATTTTCCAGGCAGGATGTGTAACAGTGTATTTTTACAGTGTCTTTTTACTTAAGTAAGGATCTGAATACTTCATCCAACACTGGTCATATTACATGTGTTTCACCCGGTTGTCGTGGTATTCAAGATGTCCACATTGGCTCAAAAGCTGAGGTTCAAAGATCACGCTTGACCTTGGAAACATTAGTTGAGAAAACAATCTCACCACAACATTGTAACTGTTCTGCAGCTTTCAGTCATATCACATTCATCAGCAGGTGTTTCTGCCTTCACATCAAGATAGGTATAAAATTATCTTTATCCTGATATACTTAAAAGACCAGCTAATACCCCCACTTCACATTTTAATCAACTGGTTTGAAATTCATTCTTGACTCAGTCACAGCAGAGCACCAAGCTGCCTTTTATTATTTTCTCAGAAAGCCAGAGCTTCTTTTTGATAATGGCTTTCGAGCTCCTCGCTCACAGTCAACACCTCGAGCAAGATGCCGATCTACCAGGAAAGGGTTTCTCCTCCTCACACTCAGTTTAACTACAATCCCGTCTTTGTTTTCTTTCACTCTAATGGCTTCTTTATCATTTCTTCCTCTGTTCAAAGGGCACGCAGTACTTGACTGGCTGTAAATCTGTTTGGAGACTAATCTGCCACTACCTACCAGCTGCTCTCTTGGCACTTGCCAGGGCCAACATTCCCGTTGCCATGGAGATAACCAGTCATGCCAGTTACACATAAGGCCTGGCGCAGGGCCGAGCAGGCCGAGTGTAGTGAGCGTGTGCTCGTGAGTGTGCGCCGAGTGTGCCTGGATAATATGCGTCTGTATTATTAGAAGTCAAACCGAGTGGTCTGTTAACCGCCAAAGAAAGACAAGGTTGTTGATTAACTGCCATTACCAGCTGTTAGTCAGTCTGAGTGCATGGTTACACAACGTACAGTATTTCTTTCTGTTTGTGTTTGGACACAATGTGCACAAGAGAGCTGGTCGAAGTCAACTGAATGTTGTCTTTTGTCTGATTGTCTAATTGGGGAACATACAGTCTGTGCAGCCCTTAATCCTGTCTGCAGGTGCCGGACTGATGGGGGGAAACAGGCCACACACACTTTGAAAATGAAGCTCCGATATTGTTCTTACCAGACACAGAAAAGTCACCTGACATTTTGGCCACCGGGTTCAGTGCAAAACCACTGTGTTCAACTATGTTGAACTTCAACCGCGACGTGCGCGCAAGCTCAGCAAGCAGTGTGCAGTGCTCAACGCAGCAAAGTGTTTTTTTGTGCTGCGAGTTAGCTGAGAAGATTGATCCCAGGGCGCATATACTGACACCTTGAGAAAATCTGACAAAGCTTTGAAATTTGATGCACAAGGTACCCTTCAGTGTCTGAATGAAACACCTTTTCAGTACAGTATGTGGTGTACAGAATATGCAGTTGAGTTAGGTTTGGGCACCAAAAGTACTTGGTTAGATTTAGGAAAACATTGGGTTCTGGGTTGAAATAAGTACATTACCTGATGGCAGATGGATTACATTGGAGATACTTGAAAGTTCCTCATACAGACATATTTTTTGCAGCTTCTAACCCATCAACTTTAAGGACAAAATGTTCACTTGCTGCCTAATATATGCCACTCGTCAAATACCGATGCTTTGTCAGGCTTTCTCAAAGCAACGGTAATTGACTCCCTGGTATGAGATTGGGCTGTTAAACACGCAGCTACCAGCAGTAGCCAGTTAGCTTAACATAAAGACAGGAAAAACCAGCACCTCTAAAGCTCACTAATAAAGACTAATCTTTTGTATTTATTTTCAGATTGTTCAACGTGTTTGCACGGATCGCCAGATTTGCACAGATCAGGTTACATGTGCATGTGAAGTTTCTAGACTCCTTTAACGGTCTCCAGCTCCACGCAGATCCACAAATGCCTGCTGAGTTGAAACTCAATCCGTGCATATCTGATCACGTCAAGTGGCAACCTTCGGAGCTGAAAAATCTGCAGTTCATCAAATGGCCACCCAAACCAGACATATTTACAGCCTGGTACAAAAATTGGTTTGTTCTCTTTATTATCTTAAAGAGGTGATATTATGCTTTTTGGCTTTCCCCCTCTCCTTTATTGAGTTATATATCTTTTTTGTGCATGTAACAGGTTTACAAAGTGAAAAAGCCCAAAGTCCAGCCCAAAGGGAGTTCCCATCTCCCAAAGAAAGCTCTGCTCTGAACCGCTTGAAAACAGCTCGTTCGTAGTTCAGCCCTTCACTTCCTTAACTTGACGTCACAATGAAAACGGATCATAAAGCTTGCCAAGCAGCTAGGTCAGGCACGCCCTCAAATCAGGCTAGTCTGAGCGAAGGCCCTTTGGCTCGACTCGTCTTTGTTTGGGTTTCCATTGTAGAAATGTTGTACCGCTTATCCGTCTTTACATTCTGAGGAATCTTGAAACGTTTTAACCGTAGACTTTATATATTTTAAGAGCTGTGTGGATCGCTGGTGTGTGTGTCGCATTGAACATTACGTCGCAACAGTTGTGTGTGGCGTTGCTATGACGACAAGCAACGTACTATCTGTCGGTACTGTCTGCAATGGAAAACGGAGCAGGGCCGAGTAGAGTCGATTCTATCGATTTGCGCTATGGTAGCATTTTTCGCCAAAGCAGCATAGATCGTCAGAACACCGACAACAGTTCAACGTTTAGTCCTAATGGTAAGATGTGGAAGAATGATGTTGTGTGGTTGTGGACTGGTAATAACTTATACCATCTGCTAGGTTACGGTCACAGTCTGAAGCGGCTTTGATTTGGATCACACTACCTTGTTTCTTACGACCCGCCCTTCTCTGCTTCTGTTTGGCTAGTAGTTCTTACCTGGTCCCAACTGCGCATGTGCAACTCCCAACAAAGATATTGTACAAGTAAGATGAATCACTCTGTAGCTCAAGAGCGGTACAACACACAGGGTGAAAAGAGGAGCTGCAGCAATGTGCAGTGTGAGAAAAATATGGTGTTTTTTGAAAATTAAACCATGTAAACCTGTTCTGGTAAAACCCCTAAATAAGATTTTAAACCTGAAAATGAGCATAATACCACCTCTTTAATATAAGGGCTATGTAGTTTTTTGATGATATCACTTATCAATAAATCACTTTTTTAGTCAACGGGCTTCATAAAAATAACCCACACAACTGCTTTCTCTCTCCCTTGGAACAACAATAAAGTTTTATTTGCTAAAGCCCATCAGGCCAAATGAGAATCAGATTGACGTCAGGCAAAAACACATCAGAAAGGCTTGAATCACAGAGAGACCTCCGCTTTGTTTTGGAACCAACAAAGCTGGCACAGAGTTTGCTTTCATCCTACTGGACAGGTTAACTAACATTACTGCAAAGCATGTGAAATATATTATGATTTAGTGGTTCAGGTGGCTTTAGATAACGTTAGCTTGTCAGCTAATGCAGAACAGTTGCTTCGATGCAAAATACTACAGTAGTATGGCTTGCGAATGTGGAGTTATTTGTTTATTGTAGTCTATAGCAATTTAGTAGTTTTACTGATACTCAGGTTCACTGCTACTCAGTCGCTGTAACTTACGTGGCACACATAATTTACAATAATGCAAAATAACGGCGCAGGACAACAACAAAGCGGAAGTAATGTTACTTACTGCGGTCTAACTGTTGTAATACAACTGTAACATTCTGTAATATTCAGTCTGTCATTTTTGTTATCATCCAACACATTTAGTTTTTAAATAACAGCTAAATAATAAATAATAGTTGTTTAAAAGCAGCAGGCGAGCTAACGCTGATCATGTAACATTATCATGTAACGAGCATCGATTAGTTTAATGTCAAGCTGATAAAAATATTACTGTAAAATTGGAGTGGGAGTTTACCTGAGTTTCTAGCATTTTTTGGGATGCTGTCTGCGTTGTGTTGTGTTGTCTCTTGTGAAGAAATCTGCTCGCTCATGAGTTCGAGCATGCACACGAGCACTCGCTTGCTTGGAAGGCGATGGTTGCAATCTAAAAACTGCACTGCTAGTGGCCGCTGAAAACTACATGTTGCCCCTAACTTAAAGTTAGACATAATTAGGGTGACTTCAAGTGACAGGTGGGTGTTCTCACAGGTGGCTAGCCACAGCAGACAGCAGTCATTTGGCCCACCTGAACTCCACCTCTTTGCCCATTTTTGGATTTGCCAGAGTCAGGCACTGCCACGGACGGAGCCCCCAGGAGCCGCCCACGGTGAGCTTCATCACGGCTCTTTAGATATTTATGGGTGATGTCAAGACGTCCATGCTTTATATAGTCTACGGCGCGCACACATTTAACATTCTGTAAATAAATACAAACGAATGTCTCAAATATTTTTAGACATTTGTACACACAGTAAACTTTTCTAAAGGAAATTATGTAAAATAAAATCGGTTTGACTTCTAATAATAATATGAAATATTAATACTTATTCGGGTTGTGATGTGTGCATTTGTTTTTTACATGTGCTCAAACTACTTGGTATTGGTGTGTGTGTGGATTGGAACACGCATTCCAAATTTACGCACAAATCATTTTCATTACATTTTATAGTTATTTTGAGTCTAATTTCAAATGGCAAGTAGGGTTTCATTTGGTGCCAGAAATGCAGAGGCATTATTCTAGAGATTTGAATGGAAGTCATTGCTTGATGTTAGAAAAGCATTAAAATACGTGCAGAAGATTGTCGGCTGTTGGTGTGCAATATTTATGTAGCGTATGATTACAGTTTATGCTTTCTTTTATTATGATCACGTGTTGGAAACTGCCTCTTGACTAACTTTATACCCCCTGTATGAGTTGTTGGAGCTTTAAAATTAAATGCATTTTGTGTTAGTGGTTTTTTTACCAGCAAGTTTGTTGTTGAGCGTGCAAGCGAGACCAAAAATGTGTCACAAATTGAGCCTTTGATGTATTAGAAAGCTGTTAGTGAAAGGTGTTGAATCTAAAACCTCTGAACATTTAACTTTTGTGAGTCACACAGGCACACACACAGGACACGCTGGTTTGAGATTAAAAAGAAAAGCTAAAAAAAGAAAAACCTATTGTTGTCCATTACAGAACGCACAGCACACACACGCATCTAACCTGTGCATAACTCTTCTTTCATATCTACTTTTTTCTAGGTATGCATGAGGCCTTTCACTGAACGCGTCTTGCGACATGTGCAGGGAGGAAACAGCTGTGGTTTGGTTGCTGCAGAAACCAGGTGAGAGCGTGTGCCCTGGCGATGACATCACACATTCCATGACGTCGATGTGGCAGAGAGGCGTGAGGGGGCGAGCTCAGATGCCACGGTTTTGTGTTAAAATCGATCGTCTCCAAGCCACAAAGGACCTGTGAGGGAAAACATATAAAGGAAAACCCTGCTGTTCCTAATATTGTCTGTTTGCTCCTTACTGCCTGACAACATCACACATACAAAATAATCCTGCATCTGCTTGTTCGAGTGCTTTCACAATTATATTTAGTGGAATACAAAAATTCACTTGGCTGCACCAATATTTCTGATTTAATCTTCTACATGTCTTTTGCATCATAGATTTATTTTGTAATTCACATATTTAATTGAGTAATTTTTTTTTCATTTTGTTATGACATTGTGGACCATGTTTCCTGTCTATCTTAACAATATCAGTTCATCAAATTGCCCCCCAAAAAGTATGATTTTGCACTGACTGTCCTCTCACTGGGTCTGAATACTAAAGACAGGGGAGGATGACCACACACGTATACATAAAGAGCACGCCCTGACATGTATTTTTCTGCAGCAAAGTCTGTTAAGATAATGAACCGTGACAGCTCCAGCACTGTATGTGATATCCTGTGGCGTATATGACTTAATAATTACTTATGCATGTGAACAGATTCAAGCCCATATGATGTTTGCAAAGACATAACGATGATGATGGTCTGGGTTCACTATAGGACCTGGTGAACAGGTTTTCAAAACTAAAATATCAGTTAGTAAGTAAGTTAGTAAAAAAAGCTCCCTGCTTCAGCTGATTACACAAATGATCTCCAGTTTAAGTGCAAAAATAGAAACGATTAGATTAAATGCTGCTTTAAGAGAACACACGTAACCAAAAACCATTCCTCCTTGTTAACCTTTTACATGGAATCTATCTGCATGTGATTTATTAAAAAACAACCCACTTTTTCCGTATTGATTGTCTTGAACTATGATTCACAAGATTGTGCGTGGCTCCTACCTGAATGTACTGTTTTGAGATCTGTTAAAGAGATGTAATCAGCAATCTGATCATTACTGTCACTGCCTATCAAACTTCTATGTACTCCACATTATCTGCTTCATCTTTGCTGGGAGTTCAAGCTAGGGTAGGCTAGGGTATTTTATTTGTTTAAATCCTCTGTGCGTGTTGCAGGACTGTCATAAGCACGGCAAACTGTCCTACCTGCCTACTCCAGCTTTAAGTGAGCTTGATGCTGTCTGTGAAGCTTTAGCATCAGTATACAGTAACTGCTAGTCATGTTACATCTAGTAAATGATTACAGAGGATGACTAACTTAATTTAAATTTTCCATTGCATCATCTCACTATGAAAACATTAGAACGTAGTTAATCTGAATAAGCGATTTGTTTAATTTGAAGAAAAAAGAAAAGGTAGAATGATTCATTAAGGATTATTTTAAGCCTTTATACCTCACTTCTTCTTCTTCTGCAGATGTGACTACAGTTAGATTGAAGGCACCCCTTCCAGACACTGGAAAAACTATTATGGACTGCTATTCAGGTTCAGCGGTAGCTCTCAGCAGGTACCACCAAGGATGAACCTCTTAAGCTGCTTTTTGCAGGGCTAACAAAACAGCATTATGTCCTGTGATGAGTGTATGAATGGTCAGTAGACCTACAGGAGGCGTTGGTGCTGTAATCTCACTACAGTACCACATGAGATTAGATGAGAAAATGAGAGATAAGAAGATAGTATCAGGCTGGGAAGAATATGTTGCTATGAAGCACTCTGAAAAAAGACATTTGATAAATTAGAGAGCACACTATAGCAACATATCCCATATTTTATATGGATCTGCAAATGTACAAAGCCTGCCAAGTGTCCAAGAGGGTAATTGAATGAATCTATGATTAAATGAGCAAGGCATGAGTTTCGTCACAGTCCTCTAAATTAATCCTTGCACCCTGATTTGCATGCACTGAAATGCACATTGTCATCAAAAAACCGAGTAGAACATGCATGGAAATGATAGTCGGTGACTTGCCAACGCCAGCCTTTCTCTTTAGTCTGTATTAATCCCCAGCTCCTGGCCTCGGGCCATGGCGGGAATGTGTACTGGAGGATGGCCGCGTGCCCTCTCTCAGCTGCCTCCTAATCTCACCCCCCTGCCGCAGGCTCGCTCCGACCCCTCAGCCCTGCCTGTGCGGTCCAGCCAATCTTTTCTTCTGGTTCTCTCCTGCCCCCTAAAGCACAAAACCTAGAATCAGCATGTACTGGTCAGTTCTGTTGGATCTCTGACTGATATTCTGAATAAAGCAGGGGGAAAATGCAATGTTCAGCGTCATATGAACACTTTCCTAATGCATTAAGTATGCTATATGATGAACTTTACATTACAATAAATCGTTCTGACTGTAATCTTCCTCATTGTTGCATGAAGATGATGGAAGAGGGAGAAATAGCGCTTGGCAATCAAATATTCCCATGTCGTTGGTTTGCTGGCGTGCTTCTTTGAACCTTCTTGATTCACATGCATTCCACTCCCAATAGGAGCTGTCACTTTGTGTGGACATTGTCCCTTCAGTGTGTGTGGCTATAGGGAGCGTCTGATGTCCACTCCGGGCCACTTATCTATGATGTGAATGGGAAGACAATGAGACCCCCAGTGGCTCCCTCTCTCCATGACCCGCCTGGGGTCTGATTTGCCTTGGCAAGGGGGACAGAGGCCCAAAACAAAGCTGAAGGAGTCTCCAGTGAAGGGGCGCAGAGGTCAGCCCCAACGCCCAACTAACAGGCCTGTCCTCTAGTTTGGGCTCCTAAATGGGGAAGGGACAGAGAGGCGTAGAGACAATGGGATAAAAGGGACCTCCAAAACCATTAAATTCTGAGGAAGTGATGGCCGTGAATGATGACAGAGACTGAATAGAGACTCTTGAGGTGGGAGGTACGCTCCATTAATGACCATGGATGCTCCATTATGGCAGCCCTGGGAGGTGGTGATGAGGTGGTACATTTTCTCCCATTAGGCCTCTCTTCTCTGAACGAGGAGACACTTCCAGATTGATGCAGGAATCCTGGTCGGGCCTGTATAGACCCCCGCTGTGAACCTCAGGGACGACGTGACAACGCTCGGGCCCCTTTAGAGGTAGGATGAGTCAAATTACTATTTGCGTAACGTCAAGCCTTTCAAAGCCCCACTAAAGGACACTTTGATTGATGGACTTTCCCTTTTACATTAAGTGTACAAGAGGATGCGGTCATATAGTTCATGGCTTCACAGTCTGCAAGATAATGGATATGCTTCGGACTGGTATTAGCAATTTAACTTTGTCTAACTTTTCTAAAGGCTAAAAGGGATCAGTGATCTTAATGATGATTCATTCATTACTTTCTGTCAGCGCTAATATGAAGGACGAACACTGTAGAACTACCCGTATTGTATAGGTCAGCTGAATATGTTGCTCACAATATCTAAAAAATACCTCCATAAATTAAACCTAATCCCTGTTGAAGCAGATTTATTTAGGTGTCTACATTAAGATTATGTCACCAACATATGTTGCTTGTTTATCCTTGGCATTAAGTGTATTTACCACTCTCAGGGGTGTAGGTTCAATCCGTCTTATATCGACAGATTGTTTACTTCTCAGACGTAATTGCTGGCCATTAAACATAGCCATATGTTTTTGATAGATGCAATATCTATAGGGAAAATCAGAATCTAAACTCCTGTGATGACATGTTATGACCTTGAGCATAACAAATAAGATAACAGGGCTTTTGTATGTCTGAGTAATGTTCATAAAGTGTATATATTTTCATTGAGCAATGGACTAGTTTTTCCAGTCCTCCATCTCCTTCAGTGTGGACTCTTCACATCCCTCCCTCCACCTCCTCGTCCTTTCCTTGGACCTGATCCTGCAGCTCTGGTCGCAAAAATAAAACTTTTTCCTGCCTGGATCTTTTCTTTCCCCACTCCCAGACACTACACTCTTTTACACGAAAATACCAGAAAATACCAGTTGTAATGATTTTCATGTTCTTAAATTGTTTTCATGATGTCTGTGAACTGAAGACTCTCCTATGCTGCCGCCACTGCTAATCAATTTGCCCAATGTGGTATGTGAATCTATCTAGATCTAGATCAAATGTATTCTGTGACCACAGGTGTTATACAGTAAATACCTGTAATGAGAAAGAGTGCCAGCTAAATGGCACAGTTGAAATGTAAATTATTCAGGTTGTGAAATATCACATCAATAGAAGGAGGTAATTATATTCACATCAAAGGTTGGTGCAATGCTGTTGGAAAAACATCTCAAAATGATTAACAATGGTAGTGCTACACAATGAAAACTCAATTAAATTAAAATAATGTTCTTTTGTGTGAGTTATGATAGCATATACTGCGATGTTTCACCCTGGGTGGGTTAGATGGTTAGCCTATTGGTATGGTAACCATTTCCAAATTCCAAAGTGACAAAGATCTGACTGGGATGAAACAAAGAAATATAATAAATAAATTAGTGGTTTAGAGTCAGTGTGAATGTAAATGTAAATGCTCCGTACTTGTATAGTCTTTTCGACCACTCAAAGCGCTTTTACATCTGCATCTGCATTCACCAGTCACACACATTCATACACTGAGCCTAAGTGCTTAAACAGAAACTAACATTCACACTCATTCACACACTAGCGCCAGGGGCAATTTGGGGTTCAGTATCTTGCCCAAGGACACTTTGACACGCAACCAGGGGGAGCCAGGGATTGAACCGCCGACCTTTCGATTAACGGCCAACCCGCTCTACCTCCTGAGCCACAGCCGCCCCTTAAGCTGCAGGCTTAACTGCCATCCCATCAAGATATCCTCAAGAGACTAACGCAGATTTTTTTCTTTCTTTAAAATAATAGTTTTACATTTTGGGAAATATGGTAAGATACTGAAAATTGCTAAGAGTTAGATGAGAAGATTGATACCACTCCCATGTCTGTACCATAAATATAAGGCTAAAGCCAGGAGACAGTTAGCTTAGCTTAGCATAAACACTGGAAACGGGGGAAACGGCTGGCTCTGTTCAAATGAATCAAATAAAAACTGCCTACCACCTCTAAGCTTACTAATTAGCATATTTTACAGGGGCTATGTGTTGGACTATTTCTTAGCCGTGTCGACCGTTAAGGAGGTTTCAACCGGCAGCCGAATGACCATTGCAGCCATCTCCTCTCCAAAAACAAACAGATATTAAAAACACTGATTAAAGCAGTTTTAATCCTAAAAATAGATGGTGTCTCT